CACCATTCTTGGCAATCTCGTCCACAATTTCATTGCTCTCGATGACTTTATGGCCCCGCACCCAGTAGAAGTGAAGTTGGTTGCTTCTGGTAACACTTTCCATTGAAGCCCTGCTCCCCCAGACACTTCTGGCCGATATATGATACGAGGTTACTGCCTTGATTGCTGCTTGGCTCTGGAATGTCATGCAGGTGCATTAGAGGCCAGCTTCGCGGCTTTCGTACATACTCGCACTCTGCCGCATTATTCTGATATCATTTCAACATTTTTAGCTGTTTGATTGAAAACTGGGTGATGGCCTGACCCTTAGTGCGGCTGTAAGCGATGCAAAGACGCAGGCAAGTCTTTGCAGTTTCGATAGTTGAAGTCAACGTCACTGCTCCATACCAACTGATAATCCCTGGCTTATAGCACCAGGATTTTCCAGTGCTTTTGTGGCGTTTGGGAATGGTTAGATTCACAAGTTCCATCCAGCGAAGAGTGGTATCCAAAGTGAGATGAAGATATTTGATCTCTAAGCCAAAGGATAAGATCCCTGTTGGATATTTAAAAGGCTACACGATTAATGATTGTTCAAAAGGTAATAATAATGGTGATATGTCTAAAGTAACTTGTAGGAATAAGGTTGCCCGATCGGTTTACGGCTCTCATTTTTAAATTATTCCCAGTGATTTTTTATTAATTCCTACACCTTGAGAACTTCATGCGATAATATTTACTGCTTAATTTTTTCTTTTTTTAATTATTTTATTTTCAAACATCTTTCTATAAAGGATCCCACTGTTTTCATTGCCATCACAATTCATTGCCGACCGGTGACGCTCTCACTGCCAATCAAAGATCGTATCAGCAAGACTTTAATTCAGATATTAGTCGCATTTTATTTACGATTGTCAAATTTAACAAATGATAATGTTCAATTAGGAAATCATAATGACCGACCACTGCTGATTCCATTCTGCACAGTTTCACGAGTATCGTTCGTTGTGGTGGCTGGCCTCTTTCGTTAGCCAGTAAACAGCGTAAATTTATGTAATTTTTTATTGGTGCTGACAATATTAGAAATCTCTTCGGCTTTTATTGCCAATTTTGCATCGCCTGAAGATCTCGACGATCGCCACCGCTGTGCTGATCTTGTCGGCAGCCGAAAGAAGACTGGTTTTCAGTTGTTTGCGGAGTAGGATTTCGTCATTCTAGCATTGCAAAATATATTTAGCATTATTATATTATTATTATTATCGTATCATCGGCGCCTTCCTCAACCTAACGGCGTGTTCGTATTTTTTATTGCGTATACTAACTATTATATTTAAATTTTTATTTTTTCTCTGTCGTCTTGTCGCAGATGTCAACAGATAACGATCAGTGAGTTCATTGGCGTACGAATATGGTAATGTTGTTTATGTGGGTGTGTGTATGTGTATATAAGCCGCATTGTAAATGAGTTAAAGTGTGAATATATCTGTGATAGGATCTTCGTGGTCGAATTCTGGCTGATCGTTTGTTATTTCGCTGTGCGACATTCCAGTGCGTTTGTGGTTAGTTTCAGCCCCTCATCATTTATGTATGAATTCTTCGAGTTATTTTAAGAAAATTATTAATTTAGCAGTTTATAGTCTTATGTATATTTTTATTACAACCATTTGGTGTTATTGATTTTCACCTATTTTTATGAATATTAGTGGCGTATGCTTAGATATAGATATTTGTGCGTGAGCCTATCTTGGAGTGCGTAATTTGATCCAACACTTAATGGCTAATAAATTTGGCGCCTCGCTTTGCGTTAATCACCTAAGGTCCGACTTGTTGCTTTTTAATTAGGAATCTTTTGACTTTTTTCTTCGTTTTGATTAGCATTGTCGGCGGTGTCATTGCTTTTGTTGTTTAGTTGTTTTTTTGTTTTGTTTTCTATTTTGCCTTTTAATAAGTCTTTATTTAGAGATTTTAATATTTTGTTTAAATATTTAATTTGAGTTTGGAATTTTTATGTTGCTGCATTGACCTTGAATTGTGAATTGTCAAAATTCAGTTTTGTTGTTGTTATTTGGTATATGCATGCGATTTTAGGCTCTTGTTTTAATATTGCTACTACTTAACTTTAAAAGTCGAAATAAAATATATGAGTTATGCTCGAATTATTGTAATTTCAATTTTTATTTCAAAATTCATTAGACATACGCTTGAAATTTAACAATATTTTCCTGGCATGTCATTAAAGTTGTGAAATACGAATTCCAAGCGATTTTGTTTCATTGGTTTTTGCTTAGCATTGCTCTCTGCAGATTCTTTTATGTTTAATTTTGAAGTGGAATGCCTAAACAAGTATCATGAGCGCTGATCAAGACCTATTTCATAGATGGGTATAAGCAGTAGTACCTGACGATGGCTCCGAACTTCGAAAACTCTAATATGTCCAGTAAAAATAAATCCACTATTTTTTTTTTTAGTAAGTTAAAGGTTTAGTTTATTCGTAGTTAGAATAATCCGTTTTATTTTAAAAATACATCGCTTTATAATTTTTATTTCTTTATAAAGTCCAATTGCTGATAGTACAGATCCGAATTAACAGTTGAGTCGTAGCGGAGCTGCTTCTAGTAGGTGATTTCCTGCCAATCCCACCAAACACATAGCAAAACCTTCCTGACTGTCAATCCTGCCGTGGCCACTATTTTCGGTGTTTCGTAGCGATTCGACCACAAGGATTGCCGCAATTTTTCACCATCATCCACCTTAAAATACCCATGAAGTTTGTGTTAACTCATGTGACATCCATCCATCGAGCTTATTTACAAGGTGCGCTCCAAAGTAAACAGGACTTAAAAAAAAACCATTTGTTTTGAACATCTCCATTTGTTTTTTTCGGCAATATCAATTTATTTTATTCAAAATAATCTTCTTCTGTTTCAATACAGCTTTTTGCACTGTCCAAAATCATAACGAACGAGTGTTTTAGCTTGTTGGCCGGTATGGCCGCCAGAATGCCGGTGCAAGCCTTTTGAATGGCCTCTACGTCTGCATAACGCTTTCCTTTCATGAGCATATACATTTTTGCGAAAAGGAATTTGAATACGGGGAGTGGATAAAATGTGATCTTTGGTGAAATAATCGGCCACAAGCGTCGATCGAATGTTGGATTCTGAGCAGTTTTTGGTCGTCAGTCAATTCGTGCGGAACAAACCGTGCACACACCTTTCGTGAGCTCAAAAGTTCGGGCCAAATGCGATAAATCGATGTTTTGGAGATGTTCAATTCTATTTCCATGAATTTCAATGATGATTTCGGTTGACTTTTGATAAATTCACGCATAGTTTCGATGGAATTTCCGGTGATCCCGGATTTTGATTGGCATACATGTTGATCGTCATTTATGTCCTAACGACCAGTTTGAAAACGTTGAAACCACTTGTGTACTCTGCTACGGGATAGGCAATCATGGCCATAAACTTGTTTCATCAAGAGAAATCTTTCGATAAAAGTTTCACCAATTTTAAAACAAAATTTAATGTTGCCTCTTTGTTCGAAGCTCATTTTCTCACCGATTCACAAACATACTGACACTTAAAACGCAATAATTTCACTTCCAAATGATGACATGTCATGAAATTCCCACTGAACAAACAATAAAGTTAGCAGATTCTAACGCATCAGTCGACATATAGATGACGCCACCAGGGGGCGCTGGATTCAAAAATTCCTGTTTACTTTGGAACGCACCTTGTATGTCTCCAACTGGTATTTTATTTTTCTCGTGTACAATATTTTCGCGTGATCGAACAAAACTCTTACTCGCAAAACCGTCTGAGAAGTTTTTAGTATGACATCTTGTTTTTCTAATGACATATAACGAAACCCCATCTTACATGGAGTATAACGCGAGATACAAATAACTAAAATTATCTATCGGAAATTTTTAGTAGACCTATATATAGTGGTAGTTAGAAAATTTATATACAGCGTCTAACAACAGGGATGATGAAATTTTGACGACTCATGACTCAAATTTCGTCAGTGCGTTCAGTGAAGTTTACCATTTCATCTTGTCATGTTTCATAATGGTATGTGTTTGAATATTGGCCAAGATTGTTACCAAAATCACGTTCTCGAAATAAACGTTAACAAAACTTTCATCTTCTCAGATGAGGCACATTTCTAGCTTAATGGCTTCGTCTACAAACAAAATTGTCGCTATTAGAATGAATCAAATCTTCGTATCGTTCATGAAACCCCAAAAATTGACCGTTTGGTGCGGATTGTGATATGTCGGCATAGCGGCCCTTATTTCTTTCGAAATGAGACAGGAAATGCCATTACCATCATGTTTAACTTCTTCATTTGGTTCACGTAACAAAGAGCATAAAACAATCTGCATAACAAAAAATAACCAATTTTGACCAAATTTGAGTTTGAGTTTGCTTTCATTTTGATATCAAGTCGTTCTTGTTGGGTCTACCATTGATCATACGGTAGAGATCCTGTAATTGTGTTATGCGTTCCACTATTTCTGTGAATTGAATCACAACGAAGTCATACAATAGCATGCTTTGTGAAAAATGAAGGTCTTTCTTTTACCGAGATGGCTCAAGTGAAGTGAAATTCATCATCGTTTAGTCATTCATTAGTCTGCCCTATACCTGCACTACCTCCAGCTGGTACCGTGATGATAGTTTCAGAGTCTGAGTATTTTTTTTAGTCGGTGAATGTAGTCACATTTTCTGATCTTTTCTCCAGCATTAGATTTCTTTTCTTTCTTTTGGTGGTTTTCTTTTTATGAGTTTATATTTCTATGGGAAAGCAGGGTTTTATGTTTATAGTTTCAACACAATTTTTTAAGCCTTACAGGTTTTCAAGACTAATTATGGTTTATTAGACCTCTTTCTTTTATAATTCGTTTTATGTAACGCTTATAGTAGAAATGGAAGGAGACGTACTAATACCTTCTATTCGCAATTAATTACAAAGAGTTTTTTTTTTAATAACTTTTTTATTGTTCAGCGTTCGAACTAAAATATTAAAAATTATAAAAATGGTAATACTTTTATTAAATATATGAGACTAACTTCGTCTAAGGTTCAAAATGTAAATTAAAAGAGCGCTTCAGTTAGCCGCAACAAACCCTCTTTGAAGTTCATGCAAACTTAAACCTTCATTCATATCTATGGAGCTTGCACAATACGAATTCACGTTTTACTTGTGATTTGGTGGCAAATAATTCTGAATCGCACCGTTGCTTGAGTCACTGGAGCTCACGGTAATGGATGGTCCAGAATTCACTATATGTGAGTCCTCAATATGATCATCCCCACTGCCAACTGAGCCTCCCAAACTGCCAATGACGGACGATACTGGAATAGAGCCTTCATTGGAGAGGTGGTTGGAACCGCCCAAAGCATCAAATTGAGCTAAAGTGAGGATTAAAGAGTTTTAAACCATTCAATTCCTCAAATGTTGTCAAATTGTCACTAACCTTGAATGGTGTGTTGCGCATGCACCGCTTCCTCCGGTGTTTTGTACTTAATAAAGAACACTTCTGGCTTGTTGACGATTGGCGCTGGTGTAGCGACCTCAGCGCTTACGTCCAAAGCGTTCGCTTTCTTGGCCAAAACGTAAATAGCCGTCTTATCCTCAACTGGCGCAACATTAGCGATGATTTTAGCCTTATTCACACTAGATGAGGGCGTGTTAATGAATACGACGTTATAGTTCTTGCGTGGCTGTCCAATATTTATATAACGCACAATTTGTTGCTCATCATGATCCTCCGGTGCGGAGTGTAGCCAGAAGTGTTTGGTTACAATCGGCGCACGGCCAACGAAGTTCGACGATTGGTGCGAATAGTGTATATTGGCAGAGTTATAGCCCGCTTGATAATCATTACCGCCCGTTGAGCCGCTAAAAACGCCTGCTCCACCAAAACTGCTAGACAAGGCGCCATAGCCGCCAGAGGAGTATGAAGAACCACCGCTATTGCCATTGTAACCAAAGCTGCCGAAACTCGAACCGGAGCCGGCAGTACTCCCTATCCCCACATTTTGAGAGAAGGTCGGTACTGGGCTGAAATAATTGCTGCTAGGTGCGTGTGGTGTCTGCAACAAACCACCACCGGAGCTGCTATAACCGGGCTGATACTGATAACCGAGACTGACATCGGGACGTGCAAGTGTTAGATGAGTGTAGGTAGTTATGCAGACGAGTAGCTAAATCGAAGAAAGAAACAAATTTGATAAAAGTCTCGCTGGATAGTATACAGATCCAAATTTATAGAATAATCATGGTTTCCCTTCATTTAGATACATTTGTTGGATGTTATTATCCTTTTTTCGTTTCTCATCACTCACCAGAATTGTATTCATTTTTCTTAAAATATTTTTTAATCGATCACACAAAATAGCCTATTCACCGAACTCGAACAAATGCGAGCTGAAACTGATGTCCTCTTCGCAATCGTTCAACAATTTTATATCAAAAAGTTATTAATTTAAGATATCATATAAATTATATGTATCAGGATTTCTCAGTTGACACATTTTCTCGCTTTAATTAAACTCAATTAAAGTGTAGTTTCAAAATTGTGAACGAAGTGCAATAAATCGCCATGGATAAAGTATTAATATCCGGCTAGGAATTAACATGCTCTCAGAAGGCGCTAATTGCTAGAGAAAATTCGGCAGACAGTCTGTGTTTTGGTCATGCGATCATCAGTGAAGGCAGTGTTGCCAAGTTCATTTGTTCGTACTCCAGTTTTTATTTTCATAATGATTATTTCGTTTTTTGTTTTGTCTTTATTGGCACCAAGGTGTTAAATGCAGAGATTCACTACTTTTAATCCAGCAGAAATCGACTGTGTTACCTTTTTTTTAGTATTTTTTTACATGTGTAGATTAATGCTTACAGCATTGCATTCGTATTTATACAAATTGGTTAATATTATATAATAATATATGAATACAATATGCCATTTTAGTGTAATGACCCCTCGATGGGCCGGAAAATTGTTACCATTCTTTGTTCTCAATGTGGCGCCTATTGGAGATTTTAAGCGAAGCCAGGTCCTTCGCCACCTGGTATTTCCAACTGAGAGGAGGTTTCCTCTGCTTCCCCCGGCGGGTACTGGGTCGAATACTTTCAGAGATCTAGCTAGCGTAGCCGCTATCTTTTAATTCGCTGAACTATGTCAATTTCGTCACATGTCTCATGCAGCTCATCGTTCCATCGAATACGGTATTCCTTGTGGCCAATGTGCAAACGACCATAAATCTTCCGCAGAACCTTTCTACTGAAAACTCGTAACGTTGACTTATCAGATGTTGTCATCGTCCATGCCTCTGCACCATATGGCAGGAAGGGAATAATGACTGACTTATTGAGTTTTGTTCGTCGAGAGAGTATTTTACTTCTCAATTGCCTACTCAGTCCGAAGTAGCACCTCGTGACAAGAGATAATCTGCATTGGATTTGGAGGCTGACATTATTGTTGGTGTTAATACTGATTCCAAGATAGACGAAATTATCTACGACTTCAAAGTTATGACTGTCAACAGTGACATAAGAGCCAAGCCGCTAATGTCACGACAGGAGATATTTCGTCTTGCCCTCGTTCGCCTCAGACCCATTTGCTTCGATTCCTTATCCAGTCTGGAGAAAATCCAATTTACACAGCCATATTAGTTTTGCGGGGATACTAAATTTAGTCATAGCAGCATAACGGCATCTCCTTTTTGTGCTGTCAAAAGCAGCTTTGAAATCGTCGAAGAGGTGGTGTGTGTCGATCCTTTTCTCACGGGTCTTTTCCTTAGATGCGATATTGAGGAGGCTTATCCCACGGTAGTTTTCGCAGATTGTGGGGTCTCTCTTTTTATGGACTGGACAGAGCACACTTAAATTCCAATCGTCGGACAGGCTTTTGTTCGTTCGGATGAAAATTAGTTTTTCACTGGCATATTTGTTTTTCTTTAGATTGGTAATTGCTATTCGAACTTTTTCATGGTCGGGCAAGGTAATGTGCGCTCCATCGTCTTCGATTTGAGAATCGGGAACCCATTTCCTGGCGTCATACCTTCACGGACAAGCAGCAGGTTGGAGAAGCATTCCCACCAATCCAATCCATAGACAAAATAAAATAAGTGGTAAATCGCATGATCTTAGCTGCCATTTCACGAAATCGACGAGTCAATGTGTCCATGTTTAGACGAGAAACATGAGGTCTCTGTTTTCTCAAAATGGCGATTTTTCTCGCGTCGATTTCTCAATACCATGGGGTTTCCTGCTTCCTTTCGAAATGGTGACCTACTACAATCCACACCAAACGGTCAATTTTTGGGAATTTAAATTGTATTTCATGAACCACGAGAGGATTTGATTCACTCCAGTAGTGAAAATTTTGTTTGTAGATGAAGCCATTAAGCCAGAAATGGGCCTCATCTGAGAAGATGCTTTTTCGATGAACGTTTTTTCAACGTTTATGTGGAGAACGTGAATATGTTAATTAACTTGGGCAATTTTCAAACGTTGTACCAATATGAAACGTGACATGAATCGTGAAATTTTACATAAATCCATAAACAAACATGGTCCCCAAGAGCTGTTAAAGTCATGTCATCCCTATTGGTAGACGATGTATTTAACCTCTTTATAGCATCATTGTCCTCGGTGCTCATTTTGCCTGTTTCCAGCTTAGCAAATATCTTTTCAAAAAGCAATGCTTTATTAACACACGAAATGCTTTATGAACCATTTTTTTTGTAAACTAACACAAGTTTATTCACAAAAATGCTATATCTCGTTAACTAATACTTATAATCCAACTAATAGAAATCATATAGATGGTAGTAGTAGTATTATCTATAAATCAGGCACAGTGAAGCGTCTAGTTATTCTTAAAATGTTTTAAACCTACGATATCTTAAGTGGAATCCATATCCAACAAAGCCGCTAAAGTCTTCTGTATAAACTAAAGAATATGAATTTTTCAAAATGTGGAATTGTTCACTTTAAAAATATTATAATTCTTGGGTCTCTTATAGAGGTCACATTAAAATATAGGGTAATATTTTTGGTGAAGTTCTATAAATTTGTATTGGCTTTAAGATATAAGCAAAGGTAATTCCAAAAATGGCGTCTTTGACGAGTCATTGTCCGCAGAAGTTTTTGATATCGAAGTACTAAGATTGGAACTTAAATCGATAGATTGTTGGATAGTTTCGACGTCATATTCTTAAACAAACTGTTCGTCTCCAGTAATGATGCGTTTGACTAGTGTAGAGTTCTCAATATCCTCTTTGCGACCTCTAAGTGGCATCGTTTTTTCAAAAGATTCAAGCCTTTTGGTACGAGTCAATATCCCAAACACTAACCAAATTGTGTTGATTACGACTCGAATCTCCCTCGAAATATGTTGAGATTCAAGCAAACTTGTTGTTAAATTTTTTGAAAAATCACCTGACAAACATTTGGCGTCGTCCAAATAGCTACCAAACACACAAAGATCAAACTTCTCTGGAAAATAATAAAGGTTGCACGGTGGTCAACAAGTAAATTTTTCCATTTTCCAAATATTGAGATATTCTCTGCTCCACAGAAAATCAAAAACATATAAGTTCTCGAAAGCAGTCATCTACAGTTGGTTTAGCAGTTTCTACTTTTTAGAACGCATATGCAGTTTATCAATTCGACTCTCTTCCTCTTATAATTCTTATGTTCTTTAAACCAAATAATCAAATTTAATATCATTCCACATTTAAGTATTGTTTATGTCATTACAGAGGGTTGGCAAGCATTTAGGGACTCCATACGTCTACAAAATTGGGAATATAAAAAGGCTTTAGTGCATCTTCAGGCTATATATGGTATATTTCCATATTATAAAATCAGTGTTGAAAATCGGTAAGTAATTAACTTATTATACCATATGCATATACATTCATTATTTTTTTAATTACTCGCATTATATCGGGTTTTTGAACTAGAGCGCTGCACAAGGTTTTTTTTTAATAAAACAAAAACGGTTTGGGAATATCAATGAAATTCCTTATTACTGTGAAAGTACATTCGATGGCATTATGTATGGAGGTCCTTTGCATGGCCACCACGGCCACGCTTGTAGAAGTCCAGACGCTGAACCCAATCGGCCGATACTGCTACAATTTCACATTTGATATTCGTACCAAGTTCATTAATCGTAGCTATCTTGTTGGCAATTGACTGGGCCATTTCGTGGGTGTGACATTCGCAGTGTAGCTTGTTGCGCCGTTCTGTTGGAACCACATGTTGTCCAAGTCCATATCATCCAATTCAGCCCAAAAATATGTATTTGGTTATCATTGAGCGACAGCAATTCCTATTCACAGTACATGCTGGTCTTGATCATCATACGGGAATTATGGGTCGCCGGGCCATAAACTGCACCAAACTGTAATTTTTTCGGGATGCAATGGTGACTCATGAAGTAGGCGTGGATTGTTGCTTGACCAATAACGTATATTTTGCTTATTGGCGAAGCCATTCTGCAAAAAATGAGCCTCATCACTGAAGATGATTTTTCGATAAAAATACGGATGTTGTTGTTGTGGGGGTCAAGCGCCTTCTGTTCTTGCGTCGTTTTGATTTTGTAAAGGATGAGTATAAAATATTGATTTGGGTCTTCCTCAATTGAAGCGCTAGCAATATTCTCGACACTAAGGGCTCTTTGTCTCACTCGCACGGGAACATTTCGTACTGACGGTGGATTCATATTTTTCCACTAGACGCTCAATTGTTGATCTGACAGGACGACCATAAATTAGACATAGCGCTTTTAACCTATACCTTTCCACGACCATATGGCAAACCTTATTTAAGAGCAAAAAAGCGGGAAAAATATGGCGTCCTTATTGAAAAACCCGTTATATATATTTATATTATTACTTATTAATGTATGTAATCATTTCAGCTTTAATAAGCCGCATGAGTACATCATAACTTTGGATGAGGGTGAGATCGGTTTGCCTGATCGTTATTTCTACAGCATTGATTCAAATGATCCGGTAAGTAGAGTTTTGAATAACTCCCTTCTTCGGATAACTATTTATTTATGAAACAAGAAATTTCTGAAGGCGACTATTAATATAAAACTAGTTTACTTATCATTAATTAAACTTTAAGTAAGAATAAAATAAAATTTTTAATAATCCTCAGTTTAGCCGCAACAACTTCTAGCTCAAATAATTTACAGCCTTATTTTCCTCCGTTTGTGGGATAAACACTTAATTTGAAGGAGTAAAATGTTAGCATAAATTAATATTTTAATTTAATTTTTTAAAATATTTATTAAGTTGATAAATTATCAATATAATTTCATTTTCTTTTATTTCGCCTCTTGCAGATCGTACGCGGTTATAAATTGCTGCTTCGTGACTTTGCCATAAATATTGGTAAATATTTTGA